CTACCATCAAAAAATACACGTTCTTACTGTTAAGGTAAACACTTAAATAATTATCACACTCAAGAAAAAAAAACTAAACAAAAACTTAAAAACGCGCCACTCATTTAAATAAAAGACAAAAAAACAAATAAAAAGAAGAGCAGAGGAGAACTATGAAAATAGGAAGAGAGGAATAAAGAGATGGGTGGATATGGGTCTGAGTCTGAATTTAGATGAAGAGAAGATACATACCTACATCCACACCCACCCTCACTTTTTGAATCAGTTTATTTGGCGGTGAGAAATATAATTTTCTTCGAATATATGAAACTTTCTTGCATTAAACTACTCAAAGTTCAGTTCTCAGATTCTTTTAGACTACAAAAACATATTTCCAATTAATTTGTTTTATAGATTTAAATAGGAGACATCTTGTTCTTTATTTCAACAAAATAAAAGGATTGAATATCTACAAAATCCCTTTAGAGTCTTATAAAAGAAAGAAAATAATTGTAGAACATTCGTACGATATGATAAAATTGAGATAAGCACTGAAGGAGAAGATAGATGACGATCATTTCAAAACCTAGTTGAGTTGTCTTCTGTTATCTCATTGTCATAGGCTGAATTTTTCGCCTAACCATTGGTTTGACGTTCTTGCATTTGTATCGATTCACCATTACTATCAACCTTCGAAGGTTCTTTGAAATACCGGAGCCACATTTGTATACAATGAGAGATCATAACAACGACAAGAGCCAAAATAATTGCCCATGCCTTAATTATTTTTCGTTAGTTTAGTCGAACTTTTGATCGCGATGTACTTACTCTCCAACCTTTATCCACAGCTTCAACAAGTGGTAAAAGGCCATATTGTATTGAAGACACTATAGCAGCTGATGTCCACAACACTCCAGTTAAAGTACCAATATACTCGGATGAAAAACTATAATGAGAAAAAAATAACAAGTCTATGTGAACTGTTTGATTTTTATAAAACGTTATTTGACGAATTGATCTGATAGTCACTCTAGCTCAATTAGGTTAAGTCGAGAAAAGATTTGGTCTTTAATATATTTTTCTATAGTAAACGAGCGATTAAAAAGAGTTTGTCTTAATTTGTTTTTTACTTTAAAAAATGATAAAATTCAATTAAGTTTTTAAAGTCTATCATAATCTTTGTTCATTTCTTTTGAAATCTTGAATTAGTTTTATCAACTTTCATCTATTATTTTTTGTTGAAATTTTTGAATCTACGATTATTTGTTGATTAATTTTAATTATGTGCATCGAATCTAAGCATATTTGTCCAGATTCGAACAGAAAACTTGAATTTATCCATGATATTTTGAATTTCTTCTGTTTAAAAGCTATAAAGTTACGTCTACGATATGATTACGCAAGCAAAATAAGCTTGGTACTGATAAATGAACTGCCTCAAAAGGAAATGGAATTATTATATTAGAAATCGATTAATGTTTAAAAATACTTTTTTTAATCCATTACATTAATGAAAGTAAGATGAGATATGATTATTCACGATTTATGTCGTTTACACTCGACTCGTATTATAGCCTACACCAAAAAACAAGTAATTGAACGTAGGCAGACGATTGATGCTTTATTTCATAAGAGACAGCATCGAAAAGTGTATGACACATTTAGAATTGCTTCATAAGTGCAAATCAATCTAAGTACTGAATGAAATATATCCACAAATGAAAGTTACATGATAAATCAGATGAAACTCAATCAATATAACATTGTGTAAACAAATCGAAAACTTATTCTACAACCTTCAACAAATATTCAATGCGGCTTCAATTAATTATCGTTATTTCAAGAGTAAAAATCGGTTTTAATAGATTATGTATGAGATCGAGTAAAATTAAATAAATTCTTAATCAATTATTCAGTTTTCATGTGAAAAAAAATCGATTTTCATTTAAGACAATCGATTGAAAATAAAATTTACATAGAGTTTATTAGAAAATTATCATATTTGATTGACGTTTTTTTTCTAATTACTTTAAAAAAATCAATTTCAATTTAATATTATCCATATTTTGAATGAGTATGTGATTTATCTCTAAGATATGCATATAATACTTACAAAGAAGCCACAAGTGCTTGACAACCACCAGCAATGAGTGCACTATCAATACAATTGAGGACTATCGCAGCTATTATACAACTCTCTGTATTGAACATTCGAACGATGCATACAGCTACAGCCATAAACCACGTGATTGTTTGCATTAATGCAATATTGAAATATTTTTGTTTTTTACCTTCATTTAAAAACAAAAAAAAAGTATTATTTATTAATCAGTATAACAACGATTTCTTTTCGTCTTACTTTTTTCAGCTCGAAAATCGAGCAAAAGACCACTGCACGGACAAATAATCAGAGCAGCAGTAGTACACAAAGTGAATATTAATGTATATTTGTTGGCTAAATAAATATTTAATGTGCATTCGATTTAGTATTTAATGAATACTTACAAAGGGCTTCATTATTATTCGTGACATACATTACCCATGGAAACCAAGTGACAGGTAGAAATACTGCTGGTAATAAGAGAAAACTCAAGTAAAGTACTACAAATATATAAACTGGATCCAATAAAGCTTTCCATATGCCGACACGACCAATTATACGTTGATGCCAACTCATATTGTTCTCCACCG